AAAAAACTCAAATGATGCCTTTCATTGATTCTCCAACAGTCGATCGTCTTATTGCCAACATATTAAATATTTGTGGTATATTCAATAAAGACAAATTACCATCACAACAGAGTTACAGAATATGTCTATCATCTGACTTTATTAGCACTTTATCAAAATATCCATTTATCAAATAAATTGGTGTACGTTGAAGTAGTGACCACCCTATATTCCGACCATCAATTTATGAGAAATGGAAGAGGATAAAACGTTTAGTTGCCATCCGCCTGGAAACAATTCAATTATATTTCACTTTGAATGAAGATATTATTGTCCTACTAGCTACTAGCTATACGCTAAAAATGTTCAAAAGAGATTCGTGATTAAATTTTATTGGAAAAAGCTGGCTTAATAATGTACGTGATACGTCACAATCATGATTCTATCGATAGGCCATCGAAATAGATATTTTAGATAATTTACTATCATCAGACGAGACATTGTTGCCTGGTTTTCTCTGAAGGAAATCTGAAACTTTATGTAGGGTAAAAGTGAATCAGGGATAAGAGCTAGAGTATACCTCGAAAATCTCATTACACCTCCTTGCGAGCCTCCTTGTAACCACTGACATTACCGAATTGTCATCATTCTCAGATTTGAAACGTCACTTCTGAAAAATGAATAGGCGAAAGAATTATGGTTACCATTTATATTTAAATGGCCCAGAGACGAGAAGACATTTCAAGTGGTGCCTTTTGTGTTACGCCACTGTTAGGGTTTCAAATAATAATCTCCTTCAATGAAAGGGTACAGAAAAATGACATTCCTTCTCTTATAAAACATATTCTACAAACGAATACAAAAAATATCCAGTACCCTCAACTTTGATTCCACCTATCCCATCAATAACAAGACACCCCCTCCTTGGACAATCAATATCCCTCACTGTAACACAGAACTCCTCAGATTCCAAAAAATAGATACTCCTCTTCCAGTGATCCGATGCGCTTTCAACGAGCTATCCCACAAGTACACCGGCTACAACCATTTATATTCTGATGCCTCAAAAATACAAGAATAACGCGTTGGGGCCGCAGCTATCTTCAATTCTTCAATGATAATAGCTACTGCTATACACTACCAAAAAGTTGCAATATTCACACAGGGAAAGTACTCGCGATTAAACAAGCTTTAAATGTTGCGAAAGATCTTAACGGTAGCACAGTCATCTCCACACATTCACTGAGTGCAATAGAAGGCATAAAACAACTATATCCTAATTCAACAAAGAGGAGAAGTAGTTGGGATTGTCTGAGTACCATCGCATTGCGGCATATTAGGTAATGAGCTATCAGATACCGATAAGATAAATGGAAAGATATATGCAGTCTACACAGGCACAACAAACTGTACGAAATCAATCCTAACTTATGGTGGATTTATGCACCAGTTTTAAGTCTTAAGTTTTAAGTCGTATAGGTTTCAAGTCACAAGTCTTAAGTCGTAAGGTGTAAATGTTGATTCATGCAGCAATAATAAGGACTGTCATATGATAAGCAAAGCACCCCTATTCATAAGCTCGATCATTTTGCTTATTGTTCATCAGTTTTTTACATGTTCGAGGTAACCCAGAATTGTTTTTTTCTATTATTCAGCAGTTACGAATATCTATTTTGGTTTTGATTCAATGAAAACAAATGTGAACAAACCAAAATTACAAATGGTAGCCCACGGCTCATGCGCAGACCAAATTAGTCATAAGATTTAAGTTGTAAGTCGTAAGAGATGAATGTTGGCCAACTTTTCTTACGACTTAAAACTTATGACTGCTTATGACAATGGGCTTATATCTTGCTATGAGCTCCCTACGTTTTATAAAAAATTATTGAAATCCCCGATTTTTCGGACCTCTGAAAACGAGGCGATGATGTGACGTCAAAACCCTAATACTGAAACAAGACTATTCCAGACAGAGATGAATGATACATGATTTCTGACAGAGTGAATTAGCGCGAGATCACAGTTGAAAGAATTACTATATCATTTGCCTCAGGCTCCGTCGGGCGTTTGGTATTTTCTTTTAACTATGGCGCGATGAGGTTTCTACGTCATAAGAAGGTCCGTTACTATTATTCATGTCCAAAAATAAAACATTCCAGTTTATTTTTCGATCGAATTATGTTGTCAATCATTATTTATGTATTAAAGGATCATTATAAACATGGTTTGAGTTAAAAGTTCTACTAAGGTGTACACGCCCATTGTATGAACGTTTATATTGAAAAGCAATGAATGAACTTCTTAAGACTTACGACTTGATACTTACTACTTGAATCTTATTATTTAAAACTGCTGTATAAATCCACCATTGGAAAACCAGCTATACCGGGTGGCTACGGAAGTATTGCCTACGGAATATCTCAGTTATTGTATGAAGTAGGTTTGTGAAATTTGGAGCGTCGATATAATGACATAAGAGCTAGAATTTGAGCATATTGACATGTCGAAGTTAACTTCCGGTCTAACCGGAAGTAACATCAACTCTCTTATTTTAAATGGAAACCCTATTTTTTTTTTCTTTGCGCTTTATTCAGCATTCAATTCCATTTCTAATGACATATCACAAGTTGGTTTCTAACCAGAAACTAGATCAGAAAAAAATTATTATTGAAATTCACCGAGTAGGCCGTGGAAGCTAAATGAAAGCCAAAAATTGAAAAGTTGGGCTATGGAAACCATACGTCACTTGATAACAGTTGCTACTACTGTGATATTTTATTTTCATTCGTCGGCGTTATAAAAAGCCGCCAAAAAAATATTGGAAAAATTGGGAAAAAAACAATACGCTGTAGGTCCATAACTTAAATAGAAACATACAACTTTTTCTTGCCTGTACTATTCAGCATAACCATTCCATTCTAATGATATAATAAAAAGTCATTTTTTGAAATGAAATACTAAAAAATCCAATTATTATTCTACTCGGTGAATTTCAATAATAATTTTTTTCTGATCTAGTTTCTGGTTAGATACCAACTTGTGATATGTCATTAGGAAGGGAATTGAATGCTGAATAAAGCGAAAAGAAAAAAAATAGGGTTTCCATTTAAAATTAGAAAGCTGATGTTACTTCCGGTTAGACCGGAAGTTAACTTCGACATGTCATGCTCAAATTCTAGCTCTTATGTCATTTTATCGACGCTCCAAATTTCACAAATTTACTTCATACAATAACTGAGATATTCCGTAGGCAATACTTCCGTAGCCACCCGGTATAGTGGTAAATGCCGCAAAAACCAAATTCTCCTCACACGACTCAAAATAGGACACACTCGTCTGTATTTATCTACATTTGGCAAACAATATGGAGGATATAACCCATCTTGGGTACCTGGAAACAATCCCAACATGTTTTTTTCAAATGCAACCCTCATTGGAAAGCTGGGTAGAAGAGGAATTCAGGGTATGCATGAAAAACTGAAATTTCACTAGGTCGCTCGATTCCTCTTTCCACCAGCTTTCCAATGAGGGGTCACAAGCCATAGGGTTACATTTGAAATAATCATGTTGAGGGTGGTTGCAGCTACCCCTGCAGGGATATATTCTCGATATTGCTTGCAAAACGTAGGTAAATACGTAAAATCGTTGACATATCTCGAGAATTTTTGGAAAAAATATTCACCTCCCGCTAACGAATTCATTTCAGTTATAAAGTCTCCACACTGTCATGAACTATAGGTACTTGAATAAGACGTTCATGGATATATTCAGACATCCCAGGCAACCAGATGACGTTCCAGTGACGTCTTTTTTACGTCACTTGAATGACCAAGGTGACGTCAGTAGTTGACGTCGCATTGACGTGACAATGACGTGAATAAGTCACAGCCCAATGACGTCATATTACTCACGTCGTATTGACGTCATTCACTCACCAAACTGTGACGTCCGACTGACGTCATAATGGCGTCAAAATGACGATTGAATTTGGCGATGATACGTAAAAAAGATTCCTTTAACATGGTGTAATAAACACCACTAGCCTCCGATGACATTATATAATATTGATTATTGCATTGTTGAGTCTGCTTGGTGAGTCCCTCCTTTGTCATGTTCATTCAATCGCCTATTCAGCAGCGCCATCCATCAGTACGCATCTCCATCAGAATGCAATCAGTTACTCGTATTTGTATCAAAAATTATGTAGTTTGTGTCGGCGAGATGTGAGCAAACAAAGAATAGTTTAATAGCAATGTAAAGGATGTTGGCGAATTTGGCTTCCCTTCGTTGAATAATGTATATTGATGCATTCTTTGTCAGCCAACAAAAATCCAAATAGCAAATTATTGAAAAATTTCCTAAATGAAGAAGCTCACCAAATTGATACGTCACACCGACGTGATTTTTAGACGTCATAGATACGTCACTGCAACGTCATAAGAGTAACGGTTTCAATATAGGTATACCTAAACAATCATTTTTATATATACATAGCTTGTTGGTTGCCGAGATAAACAGTGTGTCAAAGTTTTTAGGAAAAAAGTTTTTCTACTACTTTTCGGGTATATCAATGATTAGAATAACACTTGCATGTTGATTTGCTTTCATGAGTTATACTTCTGTTTCACATGATAATATATTAGTATCCATGGTTTAGAGAAGGTCTGGGAAAAATAGACGAGGACAGGAGACGTCCCTCTGCAACGTCATGAAACTGACGTCTTGTTTTACCCATCTAAGTGACGTCCACTTGACGTCAAAACGATGACGTGATTATCACGTCATAGAAAGTACGTCATAGTGACGTCATAAATTGGTGTGTGACGTCTCTGACGAACAATCGCCAATAAGGGACGTCACAGTGACGTGATCATTCGTCATCTGGTTGCCTGGGATATAGTGGACATAAGTAAATTCGATACGATATCCTGGTATTGTATGGGCTGATGGGAAACCCATTATTATTCCGATCAGGAAAGAAGCCCGAAAACTTCACTCCAACCGTATTGTTTTCCTTGCAGCAAGTGACCTTGACTCGATCCGAGCCCTCTTCAATGAGAAGGAGAAGGAGCTTTCGCTGGCAGTTGCCAAAGTTGAGGAACTCACGAGGCAGCTGGAGGAGTTGCGGAGGGGAAGGGGGTCCTCGAGGGATCCACCCCCTCCATCCGCCCTGGAGTTGGACAAGCTGAGGAGGGAGCTGATGGTAAGCTATTTATCTTTCTTCTGAACCGACAGTAGGTGTTTGCCCTCTCCAAAGTTGGCAATTTAATCCCACGGGAGGAAAAAATATTAACTCCCGTGGGAGGTAAAATACATTGGCTTCAGAATGCATCCTTTGGCATCGATATACCTATGAAATCTGTGCAATCCAAGTGATCGGTGTCTTTATCACTATTATAAAACAAGTAACAATAATATCCTTATCGAATTCCAATGATATCATACGCTTCCTCATATTCCGCTACGCGTCGTGCATCAAACTTCACACACGGGACACACTTAACACTTATAATTGAATGCTGATCCTAAAGGGCGATGATCCTTGGATGATTTTGAGGAGAGAAGTTCATATCAACATATGTCTTGAACCTCTTAGTTTTTGAGCTACAGGGTGTTGAAATCAGAAGCGTACAGCGTTTTTTTAAACTAAACATTCAATATCAGGTCTACGAGGACATCACTGGTAAAAGTAGAAGTTTGATTTTCGTCCCAAAACAAAATGTGTTTCCACTTATAGTGGGTGTCTACTGAATTACCAAAAACAATATCCAAGAACTGAAGGAACAAAATTCTTTGGTTTTTATTTTTTTACGCGAAAACGGTACGTTGTATGAAAGTAAGTCAGGGAACCAAATTTGCTCCAAAATGAATAAGAATTGAAAAAAAAATCTGGTTCTCAGAAAAATCAGTGGCGTACTATTTTTTTCTTCAAAAATTGTCAGTTCAAACCCCGTACGGACGTCACTGGTGAGAATTTTTGAATATCTTTCACGTAAAAATATGCTCCTTGATAATGAAAAGGTGTATACAAAATATCATAACAATATCTAAGAGTGATAAAAAATTATGATGAAAAACTCATTTTTTTCTTGAAATTTCATCACCCTGTAGCTCAATAACTAAGAGGTTTAGGACATATGTTGATATGAACTTTTCTCTTTGAAATCATCCAAGGATTATCGCCCTCAAGGATCAGCATTCAATTATGAAACACCCTGTATAAATAGCTGTATTTTGATAAATAACGTTTTCCAGAAACACTCCTACATTTCTGATATTGTTAACAAGGATGTTTTTAGAAGGTGGGTCATGATTTCTTGAACACAACTTTTTCCCTTGTACTCCTTTTGATAAAACACCAGGAGCCTTTGGTAGAGCGAGGAAAATCACATAAAAACGGTACCCTTATCAAAATACAAAAAACGTTGACGTTTTCGAGAAAGTTGTGTTTTCATAGTGACATGATATCAGCAGATAAATTCATCAGTAACAACATTTTAGGAGCCCAATCACCTTAGTATCAAATTTGACGAATAGCGGAAATCGAACCCAAAGTTTTGAAAATTGGTGTACATGTTCCCTTTGGCATGACTTTCAACCAAAAAAAAGTCACCACCTGTACCTGTAGAGCTAACTCCGCCATCTTGAAAAATGTGTGCACTTTTTCAGTTATTCGGTTATATCTCAGTATCTGTTAACTTTATCGATATCAATATGCTGAGGTAAAATGAAGGAAATTGAATTTAGAAAAAAAAAGTTCTCTACATATATACTCGTTTAGTGCATGGTTTATCAGTAAATCGTAAAACAATATGCGATATTTGAGAAACTTACTCATAATTATTCTGATATGCATATATTCCAACTACAAGTAACTGTCAGAGAGTCGGCGCCATATTCAAGAATCCTCGCAACAGCGATCGGCCATTACAGAATACCAGTGTTGCCACATATTGATGTTTTTTTTCTTTCACATCGTATGATTTGGCAGTAAAATCAAACGTTCTTGTCAATCTGCTCCAGTTACATTGCCTACGTCAGGAAACACTACGGCTCTAATTCGGTGATTGTTTTCGACGGGTACTCTGATGATGCTGATAGAACTAAAAAGACTGAACAGCATAGACGTGCTCTTGAAAATACATGTGCTGATAGAACTAAAAAGACTGAACAGCATAGACGTGCTCTTAAAAATACATGTGCAGACATATGTTTTGTTTGATGAAAACATGCCGGTCACTGTCGTACAAGAAAAATTACTAGCAAACCCGAAGAACAAGGAGCGATTGATTGCTATATTATCAGAAAAAATGAAGGGTTCATCACAAAGCAAGCAGTGGACGATGCGATGATCCTTGGATGATTTTAAGGAGAGAAGTTTATATCAACATAAATGTCCTGAACCTCTTAGTTTTTGAGCTACAGGGTGTTGAAATCAGAAGCGTACAGCGTTTTTTTAAACTAAACATTCAATATCAGGTCTACGAGGACATCACTGGTAAAAGTAGAAGTTTGATTTTCGTTCCAAAACAATATGTGTTTCCACTTATAGTGGGTGTCAACTGAATTACCAAAAACAATATCCAAAAACTGAAGGAACAAAATTCTTTGGTTTTTATTTTTTTACGCGAAAACGGTACGTTGTATGAAAGTAAGTCTGGGAACCAAATTTGCTCCGAAATGAATGAGAATTGAGAAAAAATCTGATTCTTAGAGAAATCAGTGGCGTACTATTTTTTTCTTCAAAAATTGTCAGTTCAAACCCCGTACGGACGCCACTGGTGAGAATTTTTGAATATCTTTCACGTAAAAAAATGCTCCTTGATAATGAAAAGGTGTATACAAAATATCATAACAATATCTGAGGGTGATAAAAAATTATGATGAAAAACTCATTTTTTTCTTGAAATTTCATCACCCTGTAGCTCAATAACTAAGAGGTTTAGGACATATGTTGTTATGAACTTTTCTCTTTGAAATCATCTAAGGATTATCGCCCTCAAGGATCAGCATTCAATTATGAAACACCCTGTATAAATAGCTGTATTTTGATAAATAACGTTTTCCAGAAACACACTTACATTTCTGATATTGTTAACAAGGGTGTTTCAGAAGGTGGGTCATGATTTCATGAACACAACTTTTTCCCTTGTACTCCTTTTGATAAAACACCAAGAGCCTTTGGTAGAGCGAGGAAAATCACATAAAAACGGTTGTTACGTATATCACACATAAGGACCATCTTTCTTATATATTTCAACACTTGTTTGAGTATGCGGAGAGATTAGGCAGTACCTGCTATTCTTCGAACCCCGTCGTAAATCAGTTTCGTTCAAGGGTTTATTGCCTTTGCCCATTTTGATGTTATTTTAAAGTAGTATTAGAGAACAGCTTGACAGAGCAAGAACTGTACCGAGCAAATATTATATTCATATCAAAACGTTGTATTCAAGGTTATACAGTCCATTCTTTTCGAACAAAATAAATCAAGTGGTCGTTGAGAAAGTGATCAATATAGGTACACCACGAGATTACACATTGGTCCATCGAGCGGATTAGTTTTCATCCGAAGCCAGCATGAGAAGAAGTATACAAAGTGTCAAAGTGCAATGAAAGCTGAGAGAAACACGAGCCAACAGTATTCAAGACAAGCGAGGAAATCGTACCAGCAAGAAGGTTACAAGTTTATGCAAATCATCAGTATCGTGAGTCCTTTCAAACTATATATCCATTCAACCATATCGAATATTACCTATCAAGTTAACCCTTTCAAATCGATTCGAAGTATTTTCAAGGTACATACAGTAGCAGGTGTTACTGTTCAGTATTTGGTCTAAGCGTAGGCGTGCGAAGTTAGTTGCATGATAGTGTGCGAATATATTTGGTACATTGCAAGTTAATATTGGAAACGAAAAATTAGCATTGTAGTTATGGACGAAGAATTGAAGGGGTTAGTGATTCGTAGAGGTCAAATTAAGGGTCAGTTAACGAAATTCATTAACTTCGTTGAAAATGGCCCTATGGTCGGTCAATTTAGTCGATTATCATTACGATTACAAAAAATTGAGCAATATTTCGATGAATTTCTCAGGTTACAAGCGCGAATTGAACAAATCAGTGATGCACAAGAACAAATTAACGAGGGCACCGAATTGGAGGATAAGTTTTACGAGGCAATAGCAAACTCTAGAGATGTAATGGAACATTTGAAACCTCAGTCACCAGAATTTATCAATCAAAATATGCATTCACAAACAATAAATATGCCATCCACTAGTAATGTCAACGTCGGTAATCAGCTAGCAAGCAATAATCCACTATTCAATGTCAAACTTCCACAATTATCCTTGCCCGAATTCAGCGGTGCATACGAAAAATGGTCCAACTTTTTCGACACGTTTACATCGTTGATACACAATAACCCATGCCTGTCCGATATTCAGAGGTACTATTATTTGCAATCTGCCCTAAAGGGTGACGCGGCAAGGGTTATTGAATCGTTGGAAGTAAATAGTGCTAATTATACCGTAGCCTGGGATTTATTGAAGGATCGATTCGAAAACAAAAAACTTATAATCAAGAATCATATAAAAAATATTTTCGAATTGTCACCCGTCGGAAAGGATTCTCATGTCTCATTGAGAAAGTTTCTAGATAGTTTTCACACAAATTATAGGGCGTTAAAAAACTTACGAGAGCCAGTTGAATCTTGGAATTCGATTTTAATATACCTACTGCTGTCTAAATTAGACATAAATACAAAACGAGAATGGGAAATAAAAACAACAACACAAGATTCTCCTAATATCCAAGAATTCATTGACTTTTTATCCGAACGGTGCCAGCTTTTAGAGTCAATTGATAGTAAGTCTGCCATTCCTAATACTCAAGTGCGCAAGTACGATAGGCCTTTAGTTCATGTATCTACTAGCAAGGATTTTCAAAAGGGTTGTGTGTTTTGCAAGGGGAATCACTCAATATATTATTGTCAAGATTTCTTGAAGCTAAGCGTATCAAGTAGATTTGATGAAATTCGCAAATTGAAAGCATGCATTAACTGTTTGCGCCAGGGACATTCTGCACAGGACTGTGCAATGAGCTCATGTAGAAATTGCAACAAGAGGCATAATACACTGCTGCATTTCCAAGGCCAACAACAGTCCAATGTCGAGAATCCTCAAATTTCGCGAAACAAACAAACTC